AAAGAAAGCGTTAACTCGGCTGCTGAAATTGAACACTAGATGTCAGTAACAGAAATACCAATACAGCTTTCCGAGATCCGTGCTGTTCTCGTGTAAAAAATACTGCGCAACAATGTTAAATGGCGGCAGACTTGGAACGCAACAAATAAATTCCTGAAAACCCCGACATTTAAAATCAGTTACCAAAAATTTAAACTGAAGTCTAAAATATATGAAAATAATTTATCGTAGGTGGTAATTAAAAGTGATGATCGATGAAAATCTGAAAAAATTACTTGCTTAGCAGACGGAAGAAATTTTAAAATTATAGAATTAATAAATATTATAACATCAGCTAACAATATTTCATTAAAACAAATCCAATTTATTTTAAAATATTTATAGATTCAGTCTGAAAATTTAAAACATAACAAGAGCAACAACCAATTCCAACAGCAAAAATAAATATAACGTGAAAATTAACGTTGAAGATTTGCTGAATAGGTAATGAGGGATTGTCCTAAATATTGAGACGAATAAAATTTTACTGTACAAAATGTCCTCTTTATTGTCGAAAACAACAATATTTTTACTGTTTTTCACACTACTGTTAATATTTTTAATAATTCTTAAACTTTAGAAACGGATAACAATTAAAAGAAAAAATATAAATAAAAGTTATCTACGAATGACAGGCAATCACATACAAAAGTAACATCGGTACAGTGTTAGTAAGGAAAGTACTTGCAGTTCTATTAAAATGTGACACTCTTCTCCGAGAAGTTTTGTCCGCTTATTCAATCGGAAAAATTTTATGCATGGAGAAACAATTTTGGCTTATGAAATTAAAACAATTCGAAGAAAATAACCTTTCACGTTGGTCAAGCGTATCCTATAAGCAAACAAATAATGTTTTCAATAAATTTTTATTGAAAGCAACTGCCGACAACTAAACACATACAACGATATGTGATTATACGTGCTGCTGATAACAGCATAATTTAATGTGATGACCGATCAAGTAGCAACTACTTCTCTATATTTTAAGAGTTTGTTTCCTATCGCAAATCAAAGGTATAACTAAATTATGCCAAAGCATCAACTTGTTAATTCATTTATCACATTTTTTACACTTTTTATTGTTCAAATTAATTTCAGTTAAAAATTCATTCATTCGATTTTGCATATAATCAATGGTAATTTTCAATCTGACCAACGATTTAATTCATTATTATACTCTCATATAATAAAATTTAATTAATATTTATTGTTATTTATATGATTAACGCCGACATGTCGAATAGACAGGGACAAATGTATGAAGACCGTTAAACGAAAGAAGATATGCATGCAGGCAGACAGTACAGAGTAAATGATTGCGTGTTTTAGGCCTTCTCTAATGCTACAAGTCTGTTGAAACGATGCAAGCCATTCATTCAGTCGTATCCGCTCTTCTAAACATATTTATCATTTGATTATCAAGCATCTGTGCTTTCTGTCAAGGTGAATTTAGATTAATTTCAGCTCATAAAACTTGAAAAAATATGAAAAATTTATAATAATATACGGACAAAAACTTTACGATCAAATAGTTGAATACTGTATCTATCATCTCGAACAGTTTCATCATGCTGGTAATACTATCACACAAACAATGCAATGAAACATGCCTACGTACAGCACATTGTGTGTGCTGTGAGGTGACATGCATGCACGCACACTCCAGCGCACATGTTTGTTTGTAGTGTAGTCGGAGTGCATGAAATGAACGTGTGACATTGCGTGCACTCACGGCCGAACCATTTAAATTAATGCAGTCGGAACCCTAACTATGCACCAGTCATGTCGTAAAAATGATTAAGGCGAACGTAAATACATAACAAAAGGTTAAGTACAGTGCTTACAACTTTCACGAACTTGTTGTTACATTTGGGTTATTTCACATAACAACATTGATATATAAAGGTATTGAAGGCAAGCATTCTTAGATTCATGAGGTGCGTCCGATCCAACGTATGTCACAGCCGCAGTCAATTTTAATTTAATTAAATATATTACAACCCAAAATGATTGTTATTTTTTGTTATGCAGTTCTGAGAACAGAGTCTTTGCAATGAAATTTAGTGCAATAAATGCTCAACGTCCAAACCAAACGCAGACATATTTGTACGTGTGTGCTAGCTCCGCATCAAACTTACAAAAATTTTTATTTCATTAGATTAAAAGCAAGTAGAACCAACTAGCTAGTTAGCGCCAATGACGACGCAAGAGAGGCACTTCTATTGCTCTTCCTCAGTTAATTTGCCAAACGAAAAATTAATTTTTTCATCAACCAATCAATCAATAATAAACGTAATGAACAAAAAAAAACAATAAAAATATTAACGAGTTTCTATACAAAAGTTTATTTCAATCACAAAGAATAGAAAATGAAAAAGTTTAAACAAGTACATCAAATGTTAAATGATGGTTTAATCTTAAAGCTGATTTCCGAGGTTTCACGTATCGTAGTCCCCATCCCTAACTCCCTACCTATCAGACCATTTTATTGTAAAAAGTTCATAATTGCCAGTTTATTACTTTCTTAAAAACCAAAAGTTCAAAGATGTCTACAGTATTTAATCATATTCTCGCCATATTCTTTTCATATAAACTTTAGTGAAAGCAACAGCACTAAAGACGTTACACGACTATAAATTGTATACAGTGTTCGAATTGTGAAAAAAAAGTTGGGGGTGAAGTTTTGAATGTAAGCATTAAACATCAAAATTAAATGAGAGGTGGAGGGTCTTATTTTAGAGGTAGGGGGTAAAACTCCCCCAACCCCCCTATCAATTCGAACCCTGATTATATACCATAAAAAGGTTTTTAAGCATTCAATTCCATTTCGAGACGATCTCAGATATGTATAAACCAGTTTTTCATAATATATATTGGAGCCCCAAGCAGAGAAGATTTTTCTTAACTGCAACCACCCGCATCTGCAGAGTTCACGTCCGCAACTGCTTATTATCTGCACCCGCACCGCACTCGCGAAAAGACAATCTAAATCGGCCGTCGTAATCATAATGGCTAAATCAACATACCAAACAGATCATAATGGCTAAATCAACATATCAAACAGAAATTATTTATACATGCATATATACAAAGTAAATCAAGAAATACCAAAATTTATATAACCAAATTAAAAAAACTCGAAACCGGTCAACATTTAATAAATAAATAGACATTATTAAAAAAATTGTTCAAAAAAGTAAAATTTAAGGCGACGACGAAAAAAAAACACCCGCCAACAAAAACATTGAACATTGGTATGGTGGTGTGAAGCAAAAACAAACATATAACAAAAAAATAGTCAGAAGTCGTAAGAATAGTAGTCATTCACCTACCTACAATTAAATTACTCTCAGGGCCCTAGCTTACCAATAATGATTAATTCATCTCACCTTCCTACAAATATGTATTTCTAAGTTTTAGGAATTTTGCATATTTCAGGTATTGTATTTTAAATATTTTAACGTTTTAGTTTGCATTTTTTGAAAAATTAACTAATTAACCAAGGAACCTTGAATTATGAAATATGAAATTACTATTGTAAATTTTAATAAAAATATTGCAATTTCGTAAATAAGCTAACCTATGTTAAGCGGTAGGTTAGTCACTGCGGTTTCGAAACAAATAGCAATATTTTCATTTAAATTGATAAAATAATTTCAAATTACATAATTCGATTTAAGTACAATGTTTTAAACATATTGAGTCAAATTTATATTTAGTTTTAGTTGTTTGTTAAAACCCGTGCAACTTCGTATGCCCACCATGGCTTCAGTAAACCACCCCAAACAAAACAGAACAAAACAAAAAGCTATATTTTTATTTAAATTGACAACGATAATTTTAAATTAAATAATTCGATTTAATTATATCGTTTTAAAAATATATTTTAGTCAATAAATTTTTTGTATTAGTTGTTTGTTAAAACCCATGCAATTTCGTAAGTAAGCCAACTAACTATATTTATTCAAATCTGCTGAAGTAATTAGTAGAAGCTTGGCTATATCAACGTGGACCCCAGAGAGACTCAGCTATGGCCATTATGCAGACAAACGTAAAAACAAAATTTTTTAATCTGAAAATTTTAAAAAATGGAAAACTTAATTTTGCTGGCGGTTTTTTAAAAACGCACATGAATCCGCATTCGCGGCAAACCGCACAAATAAAATCCGCAAGCCTCAAAACCTGCAGAGTTTTGAGAATTTTTATCCGCGCAGGTTGCGTGCGGTAACCGCGGTTTGAAACCACATCGCGGTTATCAACTTGAGGCTCTAATAGATATGAATCGTACACATAGAATAATAATGAATCGGATTTTAAACAAACAAACATAACCGATAACAAATTATTTATTTTTGTTGTTATTATTATATAGTGATGATTCGATTCTATGTTAAAATATCAATTCCCTTTCGGTTTCGGTCATAGATATAAATTATATATATCCATGGTTTCGATTATTTTCAGGTATAAAATTTCGATTTCGGGTTTTTTCGAACGAAATTCAACTCAATAATATTTTGTTTTTAAATATTATTGAAAGAATTGAAAAAATTAAATGTTAAAAACACATTATTTTAAGTCTTAAAACATATGTCAGAAATTATTATAAGTCTTAAAACATATGTCCGAACTCAGAGTAAACATCAATCTAATTATACCGTCCAACCACTTCCAATATTCAATAAACTTTTTGTTTGTATTCCTCCTTAGAATGCACTCCTTAGAAGTTTTAGAAGGATAAAAATCCACGTAACATGAACATTTAGTAAGAACATAGAGTAATAATAAATCGATCCACAACTTAATTTTATTTCTATGCCACCCCAAAGTTTCCCGGTTTACGATCATTATATATATCCATGTTTACGATACCTTATATATTCATGATTTTTTTTATCTTGGTAGCCATTTACATTTGTTTACGTTTGGATTAATTTTGCCTAAATTTTCCTTGGATATTAGAATATTAGTTATTTAAAAGTTAGTTGTGTTCGTTTCGTAGACATGAAGATTAAAGAAGTTGAACAGTTGAAGTTGTGGCTCATCAATGCCGTTTCACCATTGTATGTTTTTATTAATTTGGCTTTCAAAATTTTGATTATCATGATGCCATGTTTTCCTTTTGGTCTAGCTAGCTTGCTTGCATTTTGGTTTTGCGTGCACTTCGTATCTTCCAATTTTATTTATTAAATTTATTCATTTTATTTTTTGTTGCTATTTTTTAAAAAATGTTTAGCTTAATTCAAGACTTAATTAATAACTTGTAATTAATTCACTAAGTAAGTTGTAAAAACTTTCAACGAATCTTTTTATTTTATTTTCATTTTTCAGCTCATCTGGATCTGCATCTCTAATGCTAATCTTTTTGGTCATCTCACATCTGATCTTTCTGCTATGTAATTTACCTTTATTCTATGGATTGCAACTTTGTTTCTTATATATAATTCCTTTTAAATTGTTAAAACAAGTAACCAACTTGCTTACAGTTCATGTGTACTCTTTTTTATAATTAATTAATGTGAAAATTAATTAAGTGAAAATTAGTCAAAAATGTTTTTGTATTTTTTATAAACTTTCCAGAAAATACATTACAAACTAATATATAAATATATATTTATATCACCTGGAATACAATAAATTGGATACTTTTTAAAGAATTATTCAAATAATTTTACTATGATATCAAAAATATAAATAGTTAAGTTTTTAATTATTAAAATTTAAAATTAAGCCAACAAAGTATCTATTATAATAATAAATATCTCTTAAAATTTTAATTTTTTTAGTTTTTCACTTCATATTTTTTGAGCAATTTTTTTATTTGTACCAATTAATTAAATAATTTTTATTATTATTATTATTATTATAATTGTTATATGAACACACAAAGGAAAATTATTATTGCAAATACTATCGACTAAATATTCAAAATATTTTTCTAATAATTTTATTTACATTTATAGCCACGTTTTTGCTTATGTAAGAGAAATTCCAATGAACACAAAATTTAATCAACTCTGCTGATGATTAACTAATAAAAAAATTTTTTGTTCACGATACACTGGCTTCACTCACTGCTAATATGTTAATACAATGCTGAATCGTAAACATGATGTTCAGAGTTTAAAACCCTGGTTATATTGCATTATGCTGAGCTAAACATTTCATCTATATCTAATTCTACTCTACTGCCAATGCATTTATATTTGTGTATATATTTATAAACATTTGTATGTCTATATACAAATATATATATATATATATATATATATATATATATAGGATTTTAACTTCGTAGCTTATAGTAAATAAAGTCATGTACCCTTTATGGATATGGCATTTAAATTTTAAATATCCTGCAGAATATGTGATTGAGATTTTATTTATTTATTTTTTTGTTTAATTATTTTAAAATTGTTATAATATAATTTTTTCATATTATTATTATATTAATTGGTTAATTTAGTTTAAAAAGTTTAGTTTTCTGTTTGTTCATTATGAGTTACATATGTTAATTTAAATTTCATGATTTAATAACTTCAAATGTAAGTAAGATCTTGCTTTCTCCTTTTTTATTTTGTTTTTTTTCCTTGCATGTTTTATTGCTTACCTCTTTTTTCAAAATAATAAAAGTAAAGTTCAGTTGAATTTTAGTTTTATCGTATTTTACTTACTACCAGGATTAATTAATACTGAGAATATTAAATATTATTAAATGCCAAAATATTTTTCAACTATATGTCGCCATATTATTACCAATGACATCACATCATCACCAACAACGTGACATCACCAACAATATGACAACACCCATAATAACCATAAACAACCAGGTGTGATGCAGAGCCCGAAGACTTAGCCAGGTACGTACTTGCACTTCTCAAAAAAGAGAAACCAGAAAAAGAACTTGAACAGTTATGCCACAAAGAGTTGGAGATATTTTTTAAAGATAGTAAGTTCTGAACAGCTTTTTTGATCATTAGACAATTTAACAATTTTTTGTGTATGAGAATTAAAAGGAATTTAAATTTAAATAAAAGCATTGTTTTAGTAAAGACTGAAAATTTGAAGTTTTTTCCTTTAGTTTATTCATAATTTTATGTCTATTTAATCATTAAAAATTTAAGTCTGAGTATTTTAAAATAATTTAAAAGTTAAGTAGATTGGAGATATTTATTATGAAATTTGTGGTGTGCATGTATTAAATGTTTCACAGTTGTCTGAGAGATATGCAGACTTAAAACTTTAAATATATAATGAAAAACTGCAGTAATGAATAATTTTAAAAAATTATTTGCAGACACCCTGGACTTCATCACAAAATTGTTTGCGGCTCTGAGCACAGAGTCCTACATAACAAATTCAGCACTGACGACATCGGAGCACAATCCACTCACTGAGATTAACAACAACCTCAAATCAGATGCTGCTATTTCCAACAAGTCTGCAGGCTCTGATGGTCGACCAACGAGCATCAAACAGCACAGCACTAGGTAATCTTTTTAGTGTTCTAATAAGTTTTTCAGCATGTTGATGCTATTTTGTTAACACTTTAATTTATTTAAACGTAAAATTAATAATGTTAATGTTATTTAAAAAGTTCAAGGTCCCGACCTTCCAAGGTGGATGATTTGAGGTCGAAGCTGACATCTGATTCTAATGCTGCTGTTGACGACCACAGAAGACATGAGACTGTAAGCTTATTTGTTTCTCACAATTCTTTCAAAATGTATCTTCCACTTGATGACTGATGGATTATGTTGTATCGCAGCAAATAATAATTAAAATAAATACTATATCAGTGTTTAATAATAATTTAAAATGTTAAATATTGTAAATCTTCAAAAATCTCTACTCTGCACAGGATCGCAGGGAGAGGAGAAGAAGAAGTCGAAGCAGAGAGAGGAGCAGATCCAACGAACGCAGGTTTGCAAGGAATGCCGTGTTAGCTTCATTATACTTTTTCATCAATTTTTTCATTTTATTAACTAAACCTTTTTTTCTAAAATCTGTTAGTTTATTCCATCAATATAGCTCTATCTGCATTTTCAATAATGACTTGATGAGTTTTGCTCATTTTTATGGAATTTTTATTGGGTTGAACCACAGATATATTTATTTTTAACTTGAGTCTCATTTATACTTTGTAATCACTGATTCGTCATTAGTTCATCTTCACTTTATTTCTGATATTCTTATTTTTTCTGATATTATTTATTTTAAGTCTTGTTAGATTCTTATTAAACTGGTTCATGCCAAAGTTTAACTTTAAAAAATTGTTTGCATCAGACGGAAGGCGAGTGCAACAACAAGCAGTAGGTACTCATCCAGACACCATCATCATCATCACGAGGATCTGAGGAATACTCGACTGCGCCGACGATCGCGTGATCGTTCGAGGTCACGAGACAAGTCAAGGTCACATGAACGAAATAAAAAAAGATCACGTTCGCCATTGGGAGAGTCTGGATTCAGGTCTGCAAAGTACTTCTCTTCCTCTACATCTGCTAAGAAGCGATCAAGATCTCATTCAAATTCCAGAAGGAACCAAGGAGTTATGGAGGAAAATAAAGATGAGATGCTTGTCAGTTCTGTTGTTAGAGATGGAGCGGAGGAAAGAAGAAAACTTTCTACTGGTTAAAATTTAAATTTAAAAAATTTTTTCTTTATGTAAAAACTGAACATGATAGTAATCAATTTTTTCCTTATATTTTACAACACCTACGTGATTTAATTTGTGTAATTTGTTTGGAATCCAGTTTAATCATGTCACATCTACGTAATATAATCTGCATTATATTTCAGTTTAACCAGATGACTTATCAATTTGTCAAATTTATAATTTTTCGCATCATTTTACTCGGAAATACATATATGTTTTGTTCATTTACTGATTCTTGTAAATTGTACAGACTGTAAGTTGAAGTTTATAATGTTGGCTATTTGTATTTACTGCTAGGCTTTTCAAGTTTTTTACTGTTTCAACTTTTCAAAAATGATATATAAATGAATTAGTGTCACTGTTAAAACATTGTTCATCAGGCATAGATTATTATTTTGAAATGATTAATCTGACCATACAAATTCGTTTAACATTGTGCAGGTCACAGTCGGAGTAGCAGCATAGACCTGAAGGACGAGAGACAGGATTACAGAATAACAGTGCCTCTGGACAACATGATGGCTCCACATCACCAAGCCACCCACCCCATCACTCTTCCCCCTCCCATTCATCACAATCTCCAACAGTTCGCCACGCATCCCCCCATTTTCATGGGTTTGTCTTACTTAACTTTTTCTTGCTTTCATAAATTTTTTTTTGGTAGTATATAATTAATTGTCTTTTTGTGTTGGTATATTAATCTGTATTTAAATTGTGTTGCAGCTTCAAACCCGTCTCTGGCTCCAGCACCATTCCTTGGACCGCCACCTAACACCAACATGCCTCCCCCACAGATTTCTTCTTCCATGCACCAGGATCCCACTTTGGTTGTTCTAGCTACCGATGCGCAGGCCTCACTTCCGATGGGTTTGTGGTTTTAATGTTTTTATTCTGTGTGTAAAATTTTTGTTTCTTAATCAGGCTTGGTGCATCAGAGCATGAGTCCCATTGTTTGATTGGCGAAAATAATATTCCATTTCAATTTCGTTTTATAGATGTAGTAAGTACTACTATGCTTGTTCCGACGCGTATATTTAGTTATAGGAACTTTATGAAATGATCACAAATGATTTTAATATTTTCTTTAATTTAAATTTTAGTTTGCGTTTACATAAGTAAACTGTAGTAAGGTACATGCAAATTATTTGATCGAATAGATTCATAATGTTACTTATATTACAGGTGCATTTTCCTCACCACCTCCGGCAATGGGGCCATTACAAGGGGCTCCCATGATCCTCGGTCACCCTCCCCCCTCCATCATCCATCAGGTCCCTCCACCACATTTTCGACCCACACCCGCATATTCAGCCATCTCTACGAACGAAGAGACCAGTTTGTGTTTGTGTGGTGTTAATGGCATGATTGCAATGTTGGCTGTTGTTGTTTGCTATGCTGCGATTGAGTGATAATGCAGATGAGAAAGTTTGAGAAGTAAAATGATTAACACAATGCAAAATTTCTGTTCATCTTATTTTTGGTTTAATTTTGCTTCTGCATAATAAGTTGATTGAAGCTTATAAACATTTTATTAATGATTTATAAATGAAATTTTTTAAAAAATTGGTATTATAATTATTTCATTTAGGTTTGCCATTTGATGTGCCACCGTATATTCCAACATCTATAAAGAGCAGATTAGGTTTGCTTTGGTTTTTTTTTCATTTGCCACCCTTTGTAACTTGGAGGTTGTGCTGTACATTTTGTTTCATTTATTCTTGTGCATGTATGGGTATTTTTGTCTTCTCAAATATTAGTTTTTTTATAGCGCTTGTTTATTATATTCGATTATTTTTATGGCATCCAGGCTACAAAACGAAGCCAGTTAAAAATATGGAAGCAGTGATGCAAAAACTTCCAAACTCCGTACAGATAACTACAACAACATCATCAGGTCCCACGACAACAACAACAACAACAAACGTTCCCAGTGGTTCTTCACTTTTGATCAACAACATTCCTCCAACAAAGAATAACATTTCTTCAATTGATCAACAGTTTTCCAAGTTTGGCACCATTCTTAACATTCAGGTCAGTCAATCTTTAGATAGCAAAAGTTCTTCTGCCTGTTATATGTATTTGTTTTTAACTTTATTTTAACATTTCTGTTAAAAACCCACAACAGGTAAATTTCAATGGAAATCCCGGATCTGCCCTGGTTTCCTTTTCCACCCACAAATCAGCAGAGGCAGCTTTCAGTAGCAGTGAACCGGTGTTCAACAATCGATTCATTGAGGTCAAGTGGTACAACAGAGGCACTAACGAAAATAACAGCAACAATAACAATGCCAATGTAGCTAACCTTGCTTCCAATAATAATTTCCAATCTTCTAGAGTAAGTTTTTTTTTATTCACAAGTTAATAAACCTTAGATAAGAAGTTTATAATTGTATGTTTTGTTGAATACTTAAACATTTCCTACAAATGGATTCAATATATACTAGATTATAATAACAAATTTATCAAAACTAATCACAAACTCTACCTTACCTTACTCAGATTGTTGTGTCCAGTTTGAAGAGATCAGTGAAAGAAAGATTAGGCAACAGTAGCATGAAGATACAATTTAGTAACAATGTTGACAACAAGGTAATAACGACGATCTCATCTACAATAAATGAAGGTGTTGAAGTTGACAAGCAGCTCGTTGGTGACGACATTAACATTGCGGTGTCTTCTGATCTGCCTGCTGCCAATGAGCATGGAAAGGTTTCTACGTCTTCTTTTCTTTTTTGTTTTTTTTTGTATGTTCGTTTTATTTGAGTCTGTGCAACCAAACAGCAGCTGCAATACATCATTTGCCCACTTAGTTCAGAACATTTTACATTCATAATATCAATTAGAGATTTTTATTTTTATTTCTGGTTTTGTTCAGCTGTATAGCTGCATTTTATCTTTTTCTATTTCGTTTCATTTCAGAGGACTGTACTGATTGTTCCTCCCAACTCACAGCAAGTACAACAACAACAACATGTGCTTCAGCAGCAACAACATGTGCTTCAGCAGCAGCAACAGCATGTGCAACAGCAACGTACACAACAAGCAAATGTTGCAAGAACATTTCTCCCGTCATCAACCAAATACATCAATTACCAGAATCATTCATTCAAGAAGACCAGGAAACCACCTCAGATTGTACAGTGCAAAAATGAGATCTTGGTTTGTGTTTTTTGGCTCTTATAAATTTTGTTGTTTCATTTTATTTAATTATATGATTGGAAGTGAATTATTTATATGAATTAATATTATTATAATTAAAAAAGTTCACTTTGTTTTGCTATGTGAGTTGTATGGTTTTCAGTTCTAACTGTGATAATTTCTTATTTATTACATCTTGTCTTTCTTTCTTATTTCGTTGAGCCATCACTACAGACTCACATGACATTAAAAACTTTGTCATATCTATCTTTGATCTCGTATTGGTGTTGTATGTTTTTTTACTTGTGCTTATGCTAATTTGACTTCTTTATTTTAAAAAATCTGAAATTTCCTAGACAGATGAGGGTGTGTTACAATGATCATCTCTAAAGTTAAAAATTTTACAATAAGAAAAAATTATTTATATATATAATAAAGAAGACAAATACATAACGATGTATTAAATTCATATCGACAGGAACAGAAGCAAGAGTTTTTGAAGAAAACGTACGATTTCATGAACAAGAATCGTCTGCTGATAGAAGAGGCCATCAAGAAACAAAAGGTTTGAACTCTTTATAGTTATGTTATTGTAAATTAAATGTTTCAATTTCCTAGTTTAATTCTCATTTGTTATTCCACAAAGTTTTGTTTTAACAAAATGCTTCTATTGTTTAATAGTTTATTGTTTAATATTTTTCTGTCGTTCAAAAGGATTGTTAATTAAAATATGTACTACCATTGATTCCTTTGCATGTCACAGGAGATCGTGGAGCAACTGCAAAAGCCTGGAATTAGTAGTGAAGAGAAGATGTCGTTGAAAAATGTTTGTTCATTTTTTTATTCAACTAAATCACCCACTAAATTAATGAACTAATTAATGGAATTTTTTAAATGTATTTGTGCTGTGTTAATATTGATTTTATTTCTAATCAATTAATTTGGAAAAATGGTCGCTAATGCTTTCTTTCATGTTTCTATTGCCAATCAACTTGCTAATTTTTAATAACAGAAACTGGAGAAGTATGAAGCGATGATTCGACAGTGCAGACGTGATGTCAGTTTTGACACGAAGCTCATATACAAGATACCTGCCGTTGTGTCAACCTCATCGTCCACGTCATCATTGCCACTGCAGCCATCAACGTTACAATCTGCAAATATTACCAATACGTATCGAACCTCACACCCAGATGTCAGTTGTCTTTTCATGTCATTTTGGCGTCATTCGTTTTGGTGCTTTATTAGTTATTGTGCTTAACATTTTTAATTTATGTGTTGCTCAGCAGGTTACATTGCTGTTTTCGTATTTGAATGTGTGATCATATATTATCAGATTTCTGTTTAATTTCACCTCATTTGCATTAATCGGTTGGTGCAATTTATTTCCTGCCTGTCTCACATTTTACGTTATAATTTAAATAATTCAAATGACAGAAACTAAAGAAAGAGCTACTTGATTTGGAGTTGGAAGAAATATCAAAGAGGAATAATGGAGAGGATGTCACGGACGTTCAGAACAGGATCAATGCTCTTAATTATCAGGTATAATCATTACTTCTATCTTTGCTTACATATGCACAGAAATCCAACTTTTGCACCTTCATCTACAGGTCTCCATGTTAAAAAAGACAAAATTGAGAAGGAAAATGACGAAATTCGGTCCCGGCCAGACCAGCAAGTACCGAATTGGTGCAGCACCTTACATGAAGAGTCGCAAGGCGCAGAACAGTCTCTACATGTCTACTGTGGCATTGAGAAAGATGGACAAGAGACCAAAGCAGCTGGTGGTGTCTGGCTTCGATGCCAATCTCAAAAATAGCGTCATTGCTCATCTCGGGGTAAGTTCGTGACTGTGCTCATTTAACGAGTGTTACTTCATTCCTTTCATTCTGTTTTCGTTTTATTCGTATAAAACACGAAAATGGCGTCTTTTTTTAAACATATCTACAGCACAATTGTAGAAAATTGTAATACATTAATTTGTGTGATGCATAATGTTAATTAATAAATTGCAGAAATTCGGAAACATGGAGCGATTTGTGGAGGATGGCGAGTTGCTACTAGTCACATATTCAACGAGGAAGGAAGCTGAGAAGGTAAGTAACATCTCATTATATTCTATCACTGTCATCATCATCTTCATTTACATGAGCTGCTCGGGCGCATCATTTCAATATTGTTTCGACGTCACTTTGTATTTAGTATTTTTATTAAATATTATTTTTCACTAAATGGTATTAGTAGTAGGTCATGGTGGTGCAGTAGCCGGGTTCAAATGCGAATGACATTCCCGCATATCACATCCATTATGTGGAATGTGTGGGTTTGGCTGAAAAATAAATGATTAAAAGAGATTAGATAATAATATTTTGCTAATAAAATACTTTTTAATAAATTATATTGCTTCATTTTAGGCGGCTTTGCTTGGTGCAGATTTCGGTAACATCAAATTGAATATTTCTTGGCCTAAAACAACCAGGTCATCGCCGTCACTTGTGTCTAAATCGTTATCATCACTGCACAATGACGTCATTACTGAAAATTTAATCCTTGCTCCATTCAAAGAGGAGAACGATGATGACGTTGATGAGAATTACCCTCACCAGCAGATTGAAAATGTTGGTGCCGTTGTAGCTGCAAATGATGGCGTTGATGGAGAGCCAAATCACGATAGTGATGATGAAGATGGTGGGGAGGAAGATGACGACGAGGACGATGATGACAGTGATACGATGATTGAGCTGGTCATTGAGGATGATGGTGCAAGAGAACTTGTCGACCAATCGGTCAGTGTCTGCTTACATTCCTCTCACAATCCTATGCTTTCACGATAAGATATATTGCTTTAATTTCAATATTGTAACATTTTTCTATCTTTATAATGCGTAGCTATACTTCTCATCTCCTACTTCAATTTGATCAAAACAAAACTTTAATTTACGTTAAATTTACTTCTTATTTATGCATCTTTTGTAATTTTGGTTAAGAAAGAATTTGATTGGATTTTGTAGAAAATTGTTGAAAAAGTAAATTTTTTCATAATCATGTTATAGTTGTGCAAAAATGACGATTGTGATGATTCAATGAACTGTTTTTAAATGTCTGTTTTTAGTAATAAATAATAAACTGTAATTGCATTTGAAATAGCTGGATGACTCAATGCTTGATGAAGAATCTTAACGTCGCTGGTGGTTGCGCTTCTGTCTGCCTGCCTGCCTGTCTCAACCACGAACCATCGTTCATTTCAATTATATTAATCATTATTACATTACTACCGTACCTGACTATTTGAAAATATTCATAGTTTATTAAGTTGTAACATTTTTTTGTTGACATTCTGCTTGTTTTGGAGTTCTCTTTAATTAATAAAATATTTCAAATATCACAAAAAGTAACAAAACTTGTATAAACAAATTTTTTTTACAATTAAATGGAATAGAATGTATCTCGTTGTGTTTGAACTCCGGAATAACAACTGATGAAAATTGAGTGCTGAGGTGTTTGAGTTCACTTTAGGATGATGCTGAATGTAAAATTGTATTTTTCGTACAAAATGTGAACGTCACTCGAAGATGATTTGATACAAACGTTTACAAATTAGAGATGTCTAGAATGCATGGATATATATGATATATAGATACCCATGCTAGAACGTCGATTCGATATTCACAATAAATCAAGATGAACTATACTAAATTGAGCGTAAGAAGCTTCAAAACGTGATAAACCGCGTGGGTATTGTACAATCATATAAATAAATTAAATTATATAATATTATAAATAGGTATTTAATATATAATAAGAATTTTTATATTTGTAGAGCACGATTTCAAGTCTATCAATTTTGGACAAGTTTTCTATATAGGTTACAGGCTATGGTTTTCTGTAACTATGTTTGTCAAATTTTTCTAAATTTTGACGATGGCATTATCCACTATAGAATATGAATCACAGCTGAACATAAGCGGTACGAATAATCGGTTGTTTACCTCGGTTTTGACAAGAAAAGTTTATATATAAACAAATTTAATAAATAACTAGTTATTGCAAGAAAATAATTTTAAAACTCAAAAAATTCAAATGTTCATGAAGTTCTACGCGCTGCAGTGCTATCCTGGCAATCTTTCGCTGATCGGACAAGTGAGTTTCGTTCTTCTCTTTGGCAGGTCGTTGTTTTTGTAATGAAGGATCAATTTGTTGGTCGAATCAAATTTTTTCTCGCCATCTAGTGTTACATAATTTTCCTGCAGCGAGCGTACAAAGTGGCGTCGTTACAATTAAATATTGAATAATTGAAAATAAGTTTTTGTTAAAATAGTTAAAATCAAGCGCCAGTTTTATGACACACTAAAAAGGAAAGAGCTTTCAATAATTTTGTCATATGCTATTTTTGAATGATTGGGCTGTTATTTGTTCATGGTTAGTTCATTCTTTCATACAAATATTGCCAAACTTACGCCTTGAAAAATTTTGAATTTCCTTGGTTGATACTCAGATATGACTTCTAAAACCTTGAAAGATTGGTTTATTGTCAATTATTTAAATTTATTCTCAATTAATTTTGCAAGCATAATCATGTATATCCATGAGCATAATTCATCCATCATTCTAAAGATCGAAACAAACCAACATCAAAATTTTTTTCGCTTTTTCTGATCATGTATGTTCCTTCTGCTCCATATTGTACTAAATATCTTGAATAAAAAAACGTTCAACATTTATAATAAAGTAAATAAACGATTGAAACATTCCTAACACAGACGTGTTCTCTTAAACTGGTATAGCGTTTTTTTATTATACTTTTAGCGGCTCTGAAGAGAACTCAGTAGACACGCCACACAAATCCAGTTTTACACAGACACAAGTGTGATATCGACGTTTCATGTTCATCGTATTCCTCTCATTAGAAATCATACAGAAATCATGAAGTCACGCGTTGATTTTGAATTTATTGAGGGAACCTCATGATTATGGGATCGGCAACAATAAAAATACGGTTTTATAAGACAGAGGCTTCCAGATCAAGTACATGTAAAGACAAGATGTTCAATTTTTACGTTTAATTAAGTGCAAGGTATGAACAAGTTACTGAACAAACAAGCGTATTTATTTAGCAACTAAATTGATTTATTCAATCATTTCAAACATCTTACTTTTTTCCTTCGGCTGCATGGCCGTCCCATCTGGCTTGCTTCTCAAAATTTAGCTAATAAAAACCATATTTACATAATAAAATATAGGCACATTTAAATATATTTGGAAAATATTTTATACAATAACGTTTAAAGTTTAGCTAATAAAAATTATATTTATAATAAAAAATATATTGAAGTATTTAAAATAAATTGTATTCAACGGATAAATGATACTGCAGGTAATTATGAATTAACGTCGTATCGTATGAATATTTACTTACTTTTTCGCTGACAGGAAACCTTATTCTGTTGAAAATGTTATTTAGTTAAAAATAAGCAATTAAATTTTATTTTTGTATTTTATTGATAAGTAATACACCGTTTCGTTGTTGTTTCCCGTTCATGTTTTCTTTATGTGAAAGAATTTTTAAATTTTTAATTTTTTACATTTTATATGTTGTAGTCCCTTGTTCCGTATTATCTTTTTGGAGTATCAAACGAGTATATATAATTATACAGAATTTATCACAGCCATCCAAACCCAAATCATTCAAGGCCATGTTGACCATGTTTCTCTTCAATTTTTCATTCAGCTTTTGTTTATTTTATAATGGTACCATTATATATATATATTATATATCACATATGTTCATGTTGCACTCAAATAGCTAGTTTAACGCTACACTCTATAGACGACCATCAAACGTATTTATATCTGAGTATTCAAGTTCTTTTTTGTTATTATTTGGTAAGGAAAATATCCAACAATCATCACTGAGCATGAGAAGTTCAGTGAACAAAGAAATTTTAATTTCTGAGCAACCGTCTATGATCTACTTAAATAATTTTTCCATTGATATGGAAAATGCATCACAGCCTGGATCGTCTAACGTTAACAATAACAAAGACAAATGAAAAGCAATGATTAATGTTTAAAAAATTTTAGAAGAAAAATTTATGGCATTTGGAAAAAAAAATATGGCTCCACGTACTTCGAACTTTCTGCATTTTGCGTCTGATGAAAATTTTAACATAAAATAAACGTATTTTAAATAAGAAAGCCACGTAAAATAAAACATAATAAAAAATATTTATAGAAGACGAAGAAGAAATTATTGTTACCGTAGACGTATTCCCAGCTACAAAAAGAAAACAATATTATTATTTTCAATTTTTATAAATGAGCTCTGCGGGTAGTTGCAAAATGGCAAAAATTTTAATATTAAGTATAAGAAGATGAAGATTTAAATTTATTGCTGGAGAGTCAGATTGAGTGAAGAAAAGGTTAAAACCTCAAAAAAAGCCGGTACAATAAATAATTAATGGGCAAAAAGATTAAATAATTTTATAACTACTAATCAACAGTGTAATGTTTCCAAACATTTTTTAAGATTTTCACCTGGCGCATTTCTCGTTGATGGATCAGGTCGATTGATTTGATTGGATGTTGATTTTTTGATTGGAGATTTAAAAGTTGGTGAGTCCGGTAAGATGAATGGAGGCAGGGGCGGTGGCACCCTGCTGCTGCTGCTGCTCCCTCCGACGCTTCTTGTTTTATTATCGAAAATCCTCGCTGGAGGAGACATAGTCATCGAACATGAATTCGGTTCTTTTGAATTTTAATTTAAGATAAATTATAAGGTGGGTGAAAGTAAGGTTTTTATACTTTGCAAGTTGTTGGGCAATACCAAATAAGTATACTTCAAGCTTTACTTGAGGTGATAATTAAAATACAAATCATATGGTTGCACTGGCGTAGTGAAGTCGTAAAAAAAATTAATACTTTTTGAGGACAGCATGAAAATTTTTTTTTTTTTCATCATACATAAATAATCATAAACGCTAACTATTTTTAATGATCGGTTTCACATCATGTTCTGTTATGTACGAGTATTCTCTTTCTAAATCTGTTTATAAATTCAAAATATATCTTTGGTCAACTTGCAAATCAACTTTTTTTTTAAATCTTAAACCTGAATCATCGGCGTGTAGGTCACTCCTCCGTTTATAGCGATCAAAGTAATCGCTTGTCGATATTGGTGTTTCTGTGTCAAATATCCCACTGTCACTTGATGTCGTCGACATTGTTCTGTTTATGAGAATTGTGAAAGTTATCATTCAAGTTTTATCTGCAGAAAATATGATAGTTATAATTCAAAACATACTCAAAAGAACTCAGTTTGTGTGCTTTAACCAATTCTTTTTTCAACACTTTCATCCAAACCTGATAATAAAATTTTTTTTTAAATAGCGTTTTTGAGCAAAAATTAAGCTTACGTTTCTTTCATTGTTATCTAATGCGCTGAAGTACTTAAACTTTTCCACTTCATCCAAAGTGTAGGAAATCTTAAAAGGGAATGGGCCAGATTTTGTGGATGCTTCATCAGCTCTTGCAACCCTGCAAACATCACAGTTACGTTGAATAATTAATTTATTGTAAAATATTTCATTTAATTTAACATACTGTCTGTAACCAAATAACGAAAATGCTTTTTCATAAGAACGATCATTTTCATTTTTGAAAAGATACACACAACTTTCAGATACCACAACGAATTTCTTGTTCCCTGTCATTTCATATAAAGTTATTTATTCATCATTTTGTGTTATTGCATTGCATAATATTTGTAATTGTGAGTAATGACAGAGTAGATACTAACAACATGGTATGCAGTTGAAAAACTTTGTATCTTTTTGCATAAGCACCCCACTGTGTCCATTTTGGCTCAGCTCTTTGTAGGCTTTATCAAAATAAAAAAAATCTTTAATCTTTAGTAAAAAATTTTACAAATCAATCACGTTTTACGCAATTAAAAATTGATACTAACTTTTATTTTTGGTTGGTTTCGGGCAATCTAACTTCTCTTCTATGTTTTCCATTTTCATAAACTAACAATTAGCTTATGGTACCGGAGGTAACAGCCAGTTCAGTTCATCTTTGTTATCAATGCAATTGTAATGTTTGTGCTTCCGTTTATTTTATGTGCAAAGCAGAGCGTTTCTCTTTTGTCGAAAGGTAAACTAGGAAGTAATCTGATTACGTATAAAAATAACTTTTTGCCTTGAGTTATAAAACAATATCATTATTTTGATAAATAATAATTAATCTGTTTTTTAGATTATTTAAAGATAAAAATCAGTCAAATTTCATCTGACATTAAATCTTATTCTGGTTTTCAAGATAATATCCCAGTACACGTTCTATATGTGGTAATTCCCATAGAACAAGTGCTATTTTTATTAGACGTAATTTTTACCTTAAAAGTTTACTAATTTAATTATAAAAAGATAGCAAATATTTTGCCCTCATATTATTTAAAAATTGGACATTTTACGTAATATTATGTAATGAATTACAAATAAATTAAACCGATTGGTTTTTTGTTTATTTGATTGATGGCTGGCTAAATGATTTTTTTTAAGAATATAGACTGGTTAGAAATTTATTTCGCGATTGAGTAATTAAGGGATTTTTGTTGATTGATTCATGATAGTATATCTTACTCTATACATTGATACCTGGCCGAAAGTGCACGGATCATTCGTATAGAAATTGAGATATAGTGCTTGATTATAATGTTGACTTGGAGTCATCTGCATTTTAATATATATGTTTACATTACCTACTGGTTAATTTAATCAATATACATATATACATCTGTCATTGGATGATATTACAGTACTCTGTATCATATATAAAATATAATTAATGTATAAAAAAATTTAGATATTTGCCGATTCTATTTCTGCAATCCAGTATAATAAGTAATGGGTGTGTGACGTTAATGCTTCCAAATTATAACAATACATGGGTAATTTTATGTCACATCATGACGTCATGAAATACAAAATTTAAACGTCTATGTAAGCAAAAAAATATTGCCCGTGTGTTCGAGCAACTGTTTTATCGGTCAAAAATCGATGCGAATGAATTGAATGTAATTACGTTGAAATTTTCGGTTAAAATTGATTGTAATAATTAATTTTTTAATTCAGTGAAATGTTTCGCGAAATATGTTTAATTTATTAAAAGTTTAAGAAGTTGAATTATTTATTTTCAATTAGAAACTTTTTCTTATTAAAATACTTAATACACAAAACGAAAAATGAGAAAAGCTTATTTGTAACATATTATATTATAAATATATTATTCATCAAACTATTTTTCATTCTTCAAAATTGTTATAGTTGTTAAAATATTTTTATAGAATCATTTTTAAATCATTAAAAGAATGTCTTCATCTGATTCTGAAAGTAGCGAAATTGATGACAGATTCAAGGAAGCAGCAGTTGGTGAGTTAGATTTTACCCCATTTATTAAAATTTTATTATTTTTAAATAGTCGATGATAATGAAATTAATTATTTATGAAATGATACTTTTGTAACACAGATGCTAGCTCGTTTTATTCTACATCACAAAAAGAAAATCATAAAAAGCATCAAGCAATAAAGTACATTTTTTTATATTCTCCTTTTGAGTTGCTAGTTTTTAAAAAAAATTTTAATTTTAAAAAGCAGAACTCGTTCAGAATTTACAATAACAGAGGAAGAGAAACAATTTTTATCTACATTTCTTTTTGATATCCTTGAAAAGTATTAGATTTTTTTTATTACTCAACTACGCCAGTGTATTCCTATGATTTGTATTTTAATTCAAGAAAAATACAGAGTTTAAATAATGCTCCTAGCACTAATTTGGCATTGCCCAATTTGCAAAGTATAAAAACCTTACTTTCATCTTATAATATTATCTTGAACTAAAATTCATATAAAATTATATATATATTTTGATCCAGAGGAAATAACGTTGTTTAAGAATCAAAATAAACATGTTGATCAAAATACTGATAAATCACAGAAACGACCAAATACAAAAATTAAATTAAAGAAACGAAAAAGGTTTGTATTTGTCTTTTGTAAAAAGTTTTCACGATAAAGCTTTTATGACACTTTCCATCCTCTTGCTGTTCTATCATCTCATAAATTTTAAACTTTTTAACAACTTTCTAATGGGCAGTTTTTTTTGTTCAAGTCCAATAAAAATGAGTAGTTAATCATGTCTAGTCATACTGATTACACTGCACAGATTGTACTGATTCTTATGCAGAACATGTCAACATCACACATAACTTTAGTTTCTACTTTATACAAAATGTTTTGATTTTGTCATGGGTTATAAGGGTAATTTTATAAATTTTTGAAAGATATCTTTTACAAAAATAAAATGATTGTAATGAAATATTAATTCTCAGAAGTTATGAAAAAATGAAACAAGAAGACCTTTTATCAGTTGCTGTTTCCGGATCAGAAATTATGGCTGAAAGTTGCATATTGAATAAATAAAACATATCAAAAAAATTATCTTGTCTCATCAGTTTAAACTCCGCTTTTATTAAAAAGTTTTTCGTTTTCAACATAATCGATTGATACAGTAGATTTGAATAGTATAAAAACATTCTGAAGAGTTGTTAAAATTACAAATAAATTTAGTTTTAGAATATTTTATCCTAATATGATGTATCTGGAACTATCGACCAACATAGAAACCTGCTCCTTCTCCGACTTCTTTTTTTGCTTTAGTTTCAGTCTGATCAGGTTCTTTTGTTTTATCTTTGTCATCTTCATCTTCAGGTTTGTAAAACAGATGGAAAAGCTTTGCAACTTCGGCGTAATCATCAAATTTTCTGCTTTCTTGAATAATCTGCATAAATTTTTAAATTAATTGAGTTTGAATTGAGTATGAAACATCAAATAGATATAAATCTGAATTGGTAAAACGAAATTTTATATTAAAATTAAGTATGTTTATGGATGGCTGACCTGTCTGGCCACGCTCATGCCACTGAAAACGTTCCACATCAATACGCCTACCACGACGTCATCTTTCAGGTAGAAGACAATACCTTTCCTGTACTCATCATCATCCAAAGAGTTGAGTTTTGATGAGGTTTCTTCAAGTGTTAATTCTTTTATTTGTGGGTTTGGATCTGTCTAAAAAATATTAATTAATAAAATATTGTACATCAAAACAGAGTGAATGGTAAATAGCGTGAGTGAAATTACAAACTTTTTCAGAATCTTGACTTTTAGCATCATCAATATTTGTATCAGGCGTTGAACTATTTGGAAGTTTGGCAAAGACAGAAACAGTAGGTAGTGCTGAATCAATCAAACCAATAGCTTCAAAACCGATATACGGTCCAATATCAGACCATATCATGGATTGGTGTTTGTAGGGTTTTCTAGCACCGGTCATGTTCATGCCGGCCAGACGACCGCTAACAACTGCGTGGTCATGGTGTTCCACTCTTCGCCTTCCTAACCTGACGTCGTAGAAACAAGCCGCATCACCTGCCTAGTAACATCGATCATCATATAATATTAAATTCATGATTTAATTAACTTGAACATATAAGCGTTTTAAGATGAAATGAATGAATTACAAATAAGATGCGTATAAAACTAAGCAGTGGATAAGATAGCACAATTATTTTCCTGGCTGTAATATAGATGCATTAGAATATTTTCGCTTCTTCTGCTCAGTAAGTGTTTATGCAGTTTCAATTCTATTGGTATAAATTTATAACAGTTTTTGTATTGAGCATTCGTGAACTAAGATATGTGGAATTTGATATTGAAAATAGCCAGGTATGGCAAATATCACCTCAAACATTTTAATAACGTTGTACAGAAATTTCAGTTAAAAAAGTCAAAGAACTCACAGCCCATAAATTCGATCTTGCTTCGAGTTCGGAATTAACCAAGAAGCCACCTAAACGCGGATCCACCTCGAGGTCTACAGCAACAAAAATTATTTTATTTGAAAATTTTGTATACACTGTGAAAGATTTCATGCTTCACGTTGAAAGATTTGAGAAAACATCAAGTCATAATTCTATCTAGATGTATAATGTAAATTTGTTGAGAAATTTTTACATAAACACTCATAATAATAATTGAATATGATCTATTTCGTGTGGACAATCATGCAACCTGATGCTTTGGCAAGGTCAATGTTTGCATCCAGTCCTACAGCCACTACTACCAAATCAGCCGATATCTGTTTCAGGATGGAATAGTTTTAATTGTTTCATTGATATTTTATAACTGTAATTTGACTCATGACTTGACCGTGTCTTAACTTTCAACCTGTTAATTTTATATGTACTTGGTTCGTTGTTTTTTTAACGATTCAAAGTTTTAAATTTCTGATTATTTCATTCAGATGAAGTGAATTACTCCACTTAGATTGATTTGTTAAAACTACAAGGCAGGCATTCTGTGAACTGGTAGATATTTGTCGGCATTATCACTGATCACACAGACGAGCGTTAAAACACAAAATTAAATTTTGATGTAAAAAGATGAAAAAAGATGAAAATCACATAAATACAGATACATCAAACAATAACTAAGCAGTCACCTCACTATTGTCATCTAGCGTCAAAAGGACCTTGTCAGCTGTCTTATCATAACTTGCTTGGTGAATCTTTCTTTCAGCTAGTATCTCAGCACCCTCTGTTTCAATAACCAGCAACAATAATTAATGTGCTCTGTTGTTATCAAGATATGTGGAACAACAATTGTGAATACTTTACTGTTAAAAAAAATGAGAAATTCTGAAATTGCAAAATTGGTCATGAAATGTGAAAGCATGTTAAAAAAAGCTTTAATGTTCAAAATATCACAACTCAAGTATTAAATTGGATTTAGCCTGATGAATAAAATAACTTGTAAATTACCTTGCTTTATTTTTTCTGTAGCAAATTTACTCAAATATTCGGGTAAAACTAAACCTAAGTTGCCTTTAATGGAATTTAAAAAAAATTTACTATGACAATTTCGGCAAATATGTTTTGACTAAATTAGCTAACACATTTTAAAGTAGAAAATCGAATTTTTCGAGTAACAACTAATTATTATAAAAATATAAAACCTTTTTCTGGGAAAACTTGGATAACTTTGAAGGATTTTAACTCAGCAGCTACAAAATTAAAAGATAATTCATTACGAAGTCCAATTGAGATTGAAACCAAATGTGCACAAATAAGCAAGAAAAAAAAAACTAAACACATCATTTCACAATTTGCATGAAACCTTCAAGAAAAAAGTTACAAACATTTTTTTCCCAGGGCACAAGCCAATTCACTTCCAAGAAATCCTCCTCCAACTATCACAATGGACTGAACTTTATGCACCAGATCATTCAGTTTATTGAAATCTTCAACCTTACAAATATATACATGCCTGATTTAATTTAGTGAACAGAATCAAAATTGAAATGAAATATCAGAATGATTAAATGATTACTCTACTCCATATCATCATAATTATAATGTAAGAACTAGAAATAGAAAATGAAACAATAACCGTTCTGAAGAGTAAAACTTTTTGAGAAATTGGTGGTGGTGCATTTTTAAAAATTTCCAAATTTTTGGGGGTACCTCCTAAACAATGAAATTGAAAAATTTTATTCACAAAATTTAAAATATCTGAACATGTATAACTAGTTTCAATTTTAATCAGAAAATATAAAATAGTGATTTTTAAAAACTTTTTTTATAACTGATGAAGCAAATAAAAACCTGTAGCAATGAGACATTTTTCATATTTTATCTTTTGTCCGTTATCAAAATAAACGATTTGGTCATCAACATCTATCTTTGAAACCTTCAAAAACAGAAAAGAAAATTCAATAAAAACAAAATTAATTCAAATAAAGAATATCTAAAAAGTTGTAAACCTTAAGACCCAATGCCAAAGCTGTGCCACCATGCTCATTTGATTCCAACTCCTTTGGCTCAAAAAAGTAGCCCTCTTTTTCAAAAAATATTCTGAGAAGAAAAACAAACAAAATGATTAGGTATGAAATCAAGCTTTTTAAATGAATCAAGTAACAAATGACAACATCAGATTTTTTAAATTTTGCACTTAACATAAAGTTGAAATGAAGCAAGATAAAATTATCATAGACAGCAGTTACTTACGTTCTTTCCTTTCCACCATAAGTCCTGAAAATGAGGTTTTTAACTTTTTCATCATCATTCTGATACCAAAGTTCCTTTGTGAGTGGTGGCCGCATGTATGGTGGATGCCTTTCTTCCCCCACTATCAGGACCTGTTATTGGGATTGTATCGGCTCAGAACAACAAGAAAAGAAAGGAATTTAAAAAGAGAATTTAAAAAATGGAAAAAAAGGATTTAAAAAACACAAAACTATTAACCTTTGCAAAAACTTCGTTGGCTCTGATAGCCCTACTAGCTGCATGCCCAGCTGCTCCAGTGCCAATGATCAAGTATGGTATACTCTCTGGTAATTCTATTTAGCAGGGTTTGATGCAGAATGTTGAGTTAGGCATTTAGGCAATTGGTGGAATTACAAACTTTATTATATAAAACAATTTATAGAATATATTTATAATTATTCATAGAAATATATGCAAAGGCAATTTATTACATTTTTATTTGTAATCTTATTGATGTGGAATACTAAATTTAAATAAATTCATAAAAAAAATTTCTAATCAACAAACCAACAAAAACTTTTGGTGGAATCAGTTCTGTTTTTGTTTCTGTTGTTGTCTCGCTATATTTCTTATAGAATATAAAAAAATATTATTTAGTCTAAAAGACTCGAACATATATCATTATTAACTTCATGAGTAACAATTGTCAACAATATTATAATTAATAATATAATTATGAAATATATAAACGTAAATAAATAAATGAGAAGTAAATATTTAATATAGAGAGGTATAACGTATAAAACTAGTATAAACCTTCATAAACATGAAACCTGCTCCCACTGCTAATGACGATCCAATCAGCAACAACCATACATTCTTTTTTGATGAACTGGAGGATTGTGAAGAAGAAGACATGAATGTTTTTTGTAAGTAGTTATGTTGGTGATTTGTTGATGAGTGGAACTGGAATGGTTCTGCTGCAGTTGTTGGATGCTTCTTACTATTACATGATGTGGGAATATCTGAATCATTATTAGATGATTAGAATATTAAAAACTATAATTGCAAAAAATCAACGTATGATAATAAATAAATTGACTTATTAAAAAGATTACTCAAAAATTACAATAAAAAAATTGAAAATTTACTTTTGTTGGAGATCGCAGCTGTAAACTGGTAACTTCTTGGTATAATAAAGGCAAAACTTTTTTTTAAAATAGTTAAACTTTGATTTTTATTAAAAATATTTATCCTAGTATACATTTTGTCGGATGTTGATTGCAGTTAATTAGCTAGCGGCTGATGTAAACGTACGTAAATGTAAACAAACGAAATCAACGGTTGTAATAAAATTGTATTGAATGACATCTACTGGTGCTCGCTAGCTCAATGCTTTTGTTTTGTTTACAGACCAAAAGTAAATCTAAGTTTCTAAGATGAATGAAATGATGAATAAAAATTAAAAATGCAATATTATTTTAAGCATTTACTTAGAACAAATTCTAGAATAAGAATAAGATTCTAAGTATATACTTTCCTAATCCTTTTCTAACTTTAACTCTATTGGAGTTTAGAACAACAAATGAACACTGAATTGAACAATTGATCAGATCGATTCTAAATATAGATTTCCATGATAGGATAAATTATATAAGAATCAAATTTCCAAGATTCAATAAACAGGATCGAACCTTAAAAATATAGAATTAAATTGAATTTTTTAATTTAATAACAGTTAAACCTTTTCATATTTTATAAACTAGTCATTTCATATTTAATTGAAATAGCTTAGAAATTTAAACACAGTGAAAAATTTTTATTATAAGATATTTAAAAATTATTGTCTGTTAGTTAAATTCTTCCAATGTATGGATTTGAATTCTTTCATAAAAATCTTAGAGACAAATTAATACCAGTATTGTTTTCTGATTCTTTATTTTATTAGATATATTAAAATTTTTACAAAGTAAATAATATTTAATGTAGCAGTCAAAAATATCGTAGATAACACTGAAATCATAAGAGTTTTGTAACATCTGTATATTTAAGAGCCTCCACGTGGATTGCTAGATTTTTTGAGCATTCGATGAGTAAATCTACTTTTTTGTAGAACGCGGATGATGACTCAATGCTTTTTAAATGATTTTTGTTGCCGATGTACAACGAAACGATTATATAGAATATTTTTCCAACTCTGCACACCATCTCTGCCATGTTTAATCGTTCAATCCCGACGGATATATAGTCGAGGACGAGACAACAACATGCCACAACTTGCGCAAAAGATGTGCTGCAGTCTCTACAAATTTTCTTTTCAAATTCTGATTTCAGATCACGGTTGACGATTGCTTCCTTCGCATGAATAATAAAATTTCGGATGGAACGTTTGAACTTTGACCTTTCGATTTGAAACTTCTCTTCATTCAGAATGATGCTCGATTGTTCCGTTTTTGCAAACTTCATTAGAAACGAACTCCACTTGTTGAAATCTGAAAAATATTGCTTCATCGTTTGTGCACCTTCGTAGTTATGGCTCAACTTGAAAAGTTCACGAGAAGCCATCGGAGAGTTGAAATCGATGTTGTTGGATTCGTCCAACTGACTGGAGGTTGTGACGGCATTCAAATTTGAATCGGAGCAGTAAATTTTTCTTTTGTTAGGCTTTGTTAAATAATCATTTTTCAAGTCTTCCATTATTGGATTCATTTTCTTTAAGGACTGGGACATATTTTGGGTTTGAACACTGGTCGATTCGTTTAATTTTGTTTTTCGCTTGAAAAATCTTGTCAAACTGTTAAACACACCAACAAAATTTTGTCTTTTGATAAAATCCCCCTGAACATCCTCACTATTCAAAGAATCGCTTCTAACCGAGGAAGGTCTTTTGATGTTACCTTCATTGAATTTGAAATTAGTGTTGTTGGATTTTTCGTGATAATCGTAACTGATAGATTGTTGAAAAGCAGGTAATTTTGTAGGTCTACAATGGTTGGTCTGGTTGTTCCTGTTCAACATAACTTTAAATTTATTGAAAGGTGATTCATGACAGAGCGTTTTAATTCTCGGTTGAGTTGTTTGTTGCATATTCACAATAAAACTTGTTTCAGTTTCGCCAACTTTTAAAGTATTTCTTCTGATAGAGTTGCCTCCAAGAGAGGTTGTGTTTTTATTTTCAGATGTGTTGCAAGTGTGCTGTTGTTTGTATTGTTGTGAGTGTCTTTCCTTCATTTTCATTATTCTATCTTGAGAAGTGCTGTGAACATTAACAACGCACGGCAAGTAACACAGGGATGATTGGGAACTCTTTTCATAGCGATGTGATTTTTTTTCTTCAACTGACAGGCTAGAAGTGAGTTTTTTAGAGACATCGTCACGTTTCCTGATCGTGTTAGCAGCAGCAAAATTTATATTTCCGTTGCAAATTGGTTTTTCCTCATTGCAAACAACTTGCAGAACATTACTTTTTAAACTACTGCACTGCTTGATGTCATTCAAGTTATGTTCGTGATCGTGTTCGTGAAGGGCAGATGATATTCGTGAGCCCACTGGCTCACTTCTGTTAACAGCCACATTTCGATAAATATTTTCTACTGAATTAGGCGAGTATATGCAGGTTTCTTCCACGTTCAGATTATTTTTTAATCTTCCGTTTGAAACTCGAAATGCGTCATAATTTTCATTATTTTGTTCACACACACAGTCACCGTTTTGAAGTGAAAATTCATTCAGTTTTTGATCAGATGGATCTGGTGTCGGAACTTCGCTTATTGCTCCATTGGACGCAATACCCGAATCGTCAGATAATTGGTCAAAATGTTTCGCCATGTATTCGCTGTTAACATCATTAACATCGTCATCATGGTTGAACTTTTTGGAACTGCAATGTTCACCTTGCAAAATAGAATTCTCACGTGTCAATGAAAGGTTGTGGAGAAGTTGTTCTTTGGGATCGTTGTTGTGCTCGCATGTGAAGTTCAGTTTTTTGAAGCATCGTGCGGGAAGTGCTGGCAGGGGGATGTGAGATGATTGCGGTAGTCGTTGAAGACGGTTGTCTTCGTTATAATCGTGATATTTTTGAAGATCGTGATGATGAAAAACATCAGACAGAGGACGACGATGATGTTGATGATGAGTTTTATGACGATCGTGTTGTTGTTGTTTTAAAAGATAATCACCATTTTGAAGATTGAGATAACTTTTGTTATCATTCGTAACCTTCAATTTCTCATCCGACGTTGCTGGATCATCCAATTTTGTGGTGACAAATTTTAGCATTTTTTCTTTCTGCTGACACGGTGTCACGTTTTGAAGAGCTGCAAAGCAAATTGCTGCAAAGATTCAACGCTGAAATGACGAGCCAGATCGATGCGAACGTACGTTTGAAAGAACAATGCTCATATGTGACTATGCCTTTCTATGTATTCATATTCACGTAAACTGCAACGTTCAAATAACTATATAACATCATTATGTATAAAACATATATGCATGTATGTATATCATATATAAAAAGAATTTAAACTCATATACATGCGCTTACACAAAAGTATATATATATTTATGAATAATAATATATTATTAATTTTCAAGTAAACTAACAAACGCCATCCTCACATACGTACATGAATTCATTAAGAGATTAACTTGGCTATGTTTTCATTCCCACGCTTGAAGTTAGTGGATGAGCCATTCCATTATTATATATTCTATGTATATGCACCAAACCATTATATATTCTATGCATCAAACTGCAGGTAGGCACCCGCACACCCGTCACGTTATATTTTCGCTCAACTGCTTCTTATTATCATTCATTTCAAGTTTCAGATTCGTAATGATTCTTTTACTATTAATTAATTAATTATTTAATTAATTAATTAATGTTGATTTTTTGATGTTGATGCGTCATTCAATTTTAGAATATTTGTATCAATTATTATTTAGAGGTGTTTCTTTCCAGGAAAGAGAAATACATAGGAACATGATTAAATTTTTAAACTGTTGCACTAACCGTTTATAAAATACCACTCATAGGTTTCATACTGTTCTTATAGCATTATTTATTCATTCATTTATTCATTAGCTTATTTTATCAGGAGTTCATAATTCAACATAAGTTCCTGTGCCTGCTTCGTTGCCGCTCTGACGTGTGCGGTGAACTTGGCTATGACGATACGCAATATTTAACAAAATACGAATACGATCGACCGATCACAAGCACATTACAAAATTAATGAATGTTTGAGTATTTGTCAACATGTAGCTTATATTATTGATTTGCATTTTATTTTTGCTTCATTTTAATTGCCTGTTGGTGTACAAAAGCAAACGCCGAATTGAATTTCAACAAAGCTTGCAAGCTGTTGAGAACTTAATCGTCCCAGCTGTTGAGGTCGAAATGATTTTAGCCTAAGCAATTAAAAATATATTCATAAAAACAAAACCAAAACAATAAAAAATGAATAATAAGACTTCAGCACGACTAATAAAAATCTATATTTGACTGTTTGCTTAAAAAACTTTTTCTAGAAAGAGATTAATATTCAATAAAATGCTCATCTTAAGTTGAATTATGTAAATAAATACACAAGCGTGCTCTGAAGTCCTGAACGCGGCATTACATTAGACGAACCTGAGCAAACAGCATGTTGTGTTAATTTTTTTATTAAAATATATTAATAATAATAATACTTTTATTGTTGTGCTAACAACAATAATAAGAATGAATGAGTGAGTGAATGAACGAATGAATGAATGAAGAACGAAATGAAATGCTGTGAATGAACTAAAGAAGGGAAGCATAGATGCTGTTTTAAACTGTTCAGCTGACTGGCAGCCATTTATTGCATTTGTCGAGACATACACTCATACCTGGCTAACAATGATTGGCTGTTTGTTGGTTTGATACTTAGTCAGTCGGGACAATGTTTTCCATATTAATGTGAGACGTTTTTAATGAGTTCTTAATTTACTCGATATAGCTGTATTGTTCATCTATTGTTATGCTGACCGCTGTTCATTCAATGTTTTATTATTTCTTTGTTGATTTTTTCTCACGCTTCGCATTCAATTTGAATATTATTTTCTCAACTTCTTGTTCAGTTTGAAATTACTTGAAAGTTGAATATTATCTAATATGCATGAATGTTTGTATATGCGTCTATATGAGTATGTATATATATATATATATATATATGTGTGTGTGTGTGTGTGTGTATGTGCCTGTGTGTGTGTGTATGTGAGTGTGTGTGTGAATCTGTGTGTTTGTGTGTGTGTGTGTGACATACATATGACGTGTGTGAGTGTGGTATTGGATGTGTGATTGCATGTGCTAGAGTGTCATTATTTATTTAATTATTTTAACAATTTAGCAATTTATTGAATATTTTTTGAACGGATTTAAATTAATTGTTGTTCGTCTGCGCTTAGATAATCTGTTATTGCATTTGAAAAGTGCGTGTAAAATCTTGTGCATGCATATCGGGCACATGGAAAGTTTAAAAATTATTCCTCTTGGTGAAAGTTTCATTAATAAAAAGCATTAAAAATCTTATAAGCGTTCGTACAAGAAGGAGGCACATGAAGGACTGCAGCGTAATGTTTCCGTACATGTGCGGTTCATTCGAACACACGAAATTGCTTGAAACACGCTTCAGCCGACTCGAAGACGCACGCACAAATGCACAGATTCATATTTTCTCATGCTCGTTTGACACGTCAGAACGATATGATTGAGTGGCATTATTATGTGTAGGTACTGGTGCAAGGAGGAATGTTGCGTTACGTTGTTACGCTACTCTGTGTCACAGTTACGTGATTGATGTTCCTATTGGGATTGTATCAATTCATGTGTATGTGTGGTGTGTTTGCCTGTTAGTGTTTGTGTGGTGTGTTTACCTGTTAGTGTTTGTCTGGTGTGTTTGCGTGTTGGTGTTTGTGTGGTGTGTTTGCCTGTTAGTGTTTGTCTGGTGTGTTTGCGTGTTTGTATCTGTACAATGTGTTTGCATGTGGATAAGGGATGTATGCAGTGTTCACGAAGTGTATGAATTGCATGTTGGTGGATGCAGAGTGTGCCGCACGAAATTTTGCTCGCTAAATTTTTGCTCCAATTTTACAAAAAAGCCGAAATTAAATGACAGATTGGAAAAACACACCCATAGAAATACAGAGAATAAAAATTGGAAAAATGAAAAGGAGAGGTTTGGATGAATGAACGGAAGATGTTCAACAGAAAAATATGTAAACTTAATATAAATTAAAAAATGTATGAATGGATAAAAAAATGAATGAATGAATGAATGAATGAATGAATGAATGAACGAACGAACGAACGAACGAACGAACGAATGAATGAATGAATGAATGCATTTTAACAAGATAAGATTTGAACGAACAATAAAACCATGGACATAGAAGTCTATGAGTAAAACTAACGAGTGTTAAACTTAAAATGCATGAATGGCTACAGCAGTAATGAAGAAACGCATAAAGATGAAATAAACTAACTAATGAATTGTAAAATGAATGAATGAATGAAATAAAAATGAATAAACGACCGAACGAACAAACGAACGAACAAATAAATCAACGAAAATTACCGTTTAAACGAGCATAATATAAATATAATAACAATAAATAACGAGATTAAAATTTGACACAAATTGTTGCACGTTGCATATGGCATTTCGGTTGATCCACTCATTTCATATACTGCCATGCTACCCAATACTAAATAACTTCATCACATATCGTTCAAATATCTTTTCTATATTTGTTAATATTCATTTTATTCATCAAATATAAATATATATTTTTAATTTAAATACATGAAGTTGATTATTTAGAAAAAAATTCATGAATAGCATTAGAAACGATTTTTAAATTATGAAACAAGTGCATATACTAGCTATTGTGACAGAATATTCTACTCTCTCTGCGATTTAAACAGACATTTTTTTACACAACTATACTAAACACGTAATGCATGCATGATTGAAATTCTACAAGTATGAAAAAATCCGTCCCATCGTAATGTACCGCCTGTCTGTAATCTGATTGTTCGTAATTGCTAGTATTGAAATCATCAGTTGACGGTACCTGTCAAAGTGATTATACATACAATTCAATACAGTTCAATACATTACAATACAATATATCCCAATACAATACCATACAATTCAATACAATACATCACATTACAATCACAATACAATTCATCCCAATACAATACAATACAAGACTTTACAATACAATTACAATACAGCATGTAGGTACGAGTCTAAGAACCACGTGGGTTTAAATCTTTCTTGTGATAAAATCTTCAAATTTACCAGCTAAATGATTTCATGATAAAATCTTTAAAATGTTTAAAATCCTTATTTTGAGCAATTAATTACGCTGCGTATCGCCTGTTCAGTGTAACATCGATGAGATCTTCAACAAATTATTCAAAATTAGACTTACGATAATATTTTACTTAGGTATGCACTTCTGGCTTCAATGTTTGATGTGTTGGGCTGCCTTATTGTTTTATTGCTCAGTTTACCCTTTGGTTTTTTGCAATAAAGGAAGGTGATGACGATGATGCCGAAATGATGATTGTGGCGACGACGATGATGGTAATGATGACGATGAAACAGTCGTGCAACAAACAAATCGGCCAATTCTTCATGCAAAGACATATTACAAATTTTTATTTGTAAGGTTCAGATACAAACACCCATTAAAAACTTAGAATATGTTTAGTTGAAATTTTAATACATTACAGAAATGAGAGCATTTTAAAACAAAGCGCGTCAAGCTGTGCGTCCTGAACCTACACTCAGAAGGCTCCCACTTATCAAACAAACTTTTTCTCAACTCGTGTCTTCACATTTTGCTTACTTACTAACTTTGCTTACAGCATTAGCTGAGTTGCTTTAAAAACTTCTCATACGTATTTATTCCAAAAGTATTGAAAACATTTCAAGTTGTTTGCGTCTGCCTGAGAGAAACAATTTAAAAAGCAATTCAACCAGATAGCAAATTTTCACTTCACCAGCAATAAAGTTGTATTCTGCTGGCTCATCTACAACGTTGCGATACAGGTACCCATAAAAAATGTCCGACTGGCAGAGGTGTGTCTCTATTTTAATTCACATGAAAGTGTTTGTGCGTGTGTTTTGCTGTGTGTGTATATAATAAATTCACTGCGTGAGTGTATGTATATGTGATTGTATATATGTGTATGTGTGATTGTGTGTGGGTCATGAACTCAGCAGGGAAGAAACACATTATCTCAAGAGAAGAAGTTTGACATGTTATTGCTGGTGTGACGACTCGCAGGCAGCTCATTGAACGACACGTTCAGAACATGTGAGGAACATTAAAATATTGATCGACATATTTTAACATCCAACACAAACACGCGACCATTCAAACTCAAAAAGATCTTTTAAAATTTCAACCAACAAAACCAAAATATCTCCATGTTATAGAATCGGTTCGACTTCGTATTGAAGAAAAAAGGCTAATAAACCACAAAACTACTTCACGGCATGGATGTATGTATGTATGTCGTCCATAGGTTGCTAGTTCAAGGAAAGTCATTTTTATTTTACGCTAAAAATAAAAAAATAAAAAGCAAGTTTGTAAACACTTTAAACGAACAGAACAATACAAATTTGAGGTTCAACGCGAACTGTTAACTTTAACTATATTATAACTTGTATCAACGTGATTCTTTCAAGTTTTGCTATAATTTTTGGGAAAAGTTTTAGCGCTGATTAAACGCCATACAGTTTTTATTGTAGGTGCAAGTGTTCATTTTTGAATAGTTGCAAGTAGGCACGCAAAAGCTATGTAATACGCACCTATGTATGTGTGTGCCGTAATTTCCTCTGAGTTGTGCTTAAAGAGAGTAGGTATGTCATTTCATTTCATTAAATCTCGTGTAAATTTTTTTTATTTCATACTATAACCGGTTAAAACAAAATTTCGTTAAAAAATTAATAAACATTTAGAAATATTTAACTTTATATAAAAATATTTTGCAATCTAAATTATAATAATAATAAATAATAATAGTTATTATCAGTAATGAGAATTGAAGTTTAGACCAGCAAATGTTATTAAAAACCGGGGCCATTACATTACATAGCGTAGAGTTAGATTAGTCGTTATTCTTAAATCCAGATATTAAATCTAACCAGACCTTGATGTTAACAGTTGAGTGAATTATGAATGACGCTTGAATAATAGGACGGCACAATACAGTTACATTGTGATATTATAACAACAATGACAACAACTCAGATGAAATATTTACATGTTATGTTACCTATGTTTGTGTGTATGTATGAATGTATGCATGTATGTGTGTGTGTGTATGTGTGTATGTATGTATGCATGCATGTATGTTAAAACCAAAACATGATGAGTGACACTGAACCGTCAAACATCAAGTAACAAATGGATTAACACTTTGATTTGTCGTTAATTGCACATGTCGGCATTCAGTTGGATATTTTCAAGCACACAGACACGCAGGAACCGCTGCAACAAGCACGAAATGTGGTTAGTTGCGAAAAACAGTTCCCTGCTGTCGCCTGATCTGACGCTGATCATTTTGCATATTTCCTTAAGAAATTTAAGGGTGTTGGGGTCCATCGGGCCAAGAACCTCGATGCATATTGGCAAGAATTCCATCGAGGGGAGGGCGTTCCCATATTTTTTCATTTTCTCGTCCGCTGCCCTGGCCGCGGCCAAACCGCATTCTTTACTTGTCAGGTTTACGTATCGTTCGGCGAGGGTGCCAGGGACCGTAACATCCCACGCCAAACATCTGCCGGCTCTCCAAGGTATTAGCGTGCATCCGTCCGGGCGCCTACCATCATGCGCAGAAATGCCGGATGGTTCCTTGAGAACCGGGATTGAAGCCTTGGAGAAGAGTCGACAAATGTAATCGTTTAGCGCTGAGTGACGTAGTTGACGGCCCCCACCCAGGCGACAAACCAAACCGTGGTGCCCAAACTCGTCCGCCCCAGCGCCACATCGGCACGTGTATTTATTCTGAATGACCAGGCCAAGTCTGAAGCCAATGGCGAATCTCACAGACTCGTCGTCAAGCCTGGTGCCCACAGAGGTGTTAGGCCACGATCTCAACCACCCACAGCTGGCAACGCTGGACATGGCCAACAAACGAGCGGTGGAAAAGTCGTCGCCACATGAAGACAACAAATTTTGAAAGATTTTTTTATATTCTTTGTTCAAAATTTGGACGTGCGTACGGTCCCTCGGGGCGGACACTGGGGGAAGAATATCGCGGCAACGAAAAAACCAGTGGAGCAGGGAAGACTGCAGGTCGAGAGTGGCAGCGGCAGAAGAATTATAAACAACGGGAGCCAGCTGAACCAGCTAAGCAACTCCAGCCCACCAAATCGCACCGGCAGCTGAGCCTGGGACCAACCACTGTCAGTCACTTGAACATTGCAAATTGACGACAGGGCGGTGCGCAGGGCTCCGTCAAATTCGCCCAATTTAGAAGGGTCAATGTGTTTAGATGTACGCAGGAAGTACATCAATTTTGGCAAACTGAGGGCATTGCGGATAATAGTCAAGGCATCATGGGCCGAAAGACAGGAAACACGACCCAGGGCGAATTTAAGCTCAGAGAGCTTTTGGTCAAAAAACTTTATTTGATAATCGCCCTCGACCAAGGGTGTGCCTAAAAAACTCAGTTCTGATGCACCAACTCTGGGTATTTCAGCCAGCGCATGTGGCACCTGAAATAAACTTTGGCAGTGAAGTTTGCATTTTTTAATGTTTAACTCTAAGCCAATTGCAGCGGAGTTATGCTTGAAATATTCGTAGCTATCGGCCAGAGTTGGACCGTCCGAAGCTATGCTGATATCATCCAGATAAGCGCAAACGTAAGTGGACGAAGCTTTCTCTAAGAGTGGATGAAGAGTTAGTGCGAACAACAAAGGACCAAGGGGATCACCCTGCTGTACCCCCTCGGACGATTCTACAACCCAAGAGTGGTAGCCAAGGGAAGAGACTCCGCCATAGGCAGAATGTATGTATGTATGTATGTATGTATGTATGTATGTATGTATGTATGTATGTATGTATGTATGTATGTATGTATGTATGTATGTATGTATGTATGTATTTATGTATTTATGTATGTATGTATGTATGTAATATGTTGTCATGGACTTCAATCTTATACTCACAGGAGTTTATTTATAACAAGATCTAAATTTAAAATTAGCCAAACCTAAGACTGTTTAACCCCATTTAAAAAATATTTACGCAGATAAACTATTGAAAATTTGCTTACTGATAAATTATCTTGCTAATGTTTTATTGTAAGGACGGACCTTCCAATCATAAAATTAAAAATTATATAACTTCATATATATATATATATATATATATATATATATATATATATATATATATATATATCATTTTTTGATATTCTAATACAATTGTCAACCTCAAGACACATGCACTGCATACACATTACACAGCTCGATAAATTGATTGCAGCTCATTAACGCAAACCTGGACAAGCATGCTTCATTCGATCAAATTTTTAAGCCGAAAAGATTAAATTTTATATTCAACAATTCACTGGCGTGTATAGCGACAATAATAAATACAATAAATAACAACAACGATAATAACAACAACAACAACACTAACAATAATATTTATAAATGTGTATTTTTATTGTTGCACATGTAATTATTCGTAATAATTTCTCAGCACTGCCACTTTTATTTACTGTGCCATTATTTATGTTATATTGTATTTGAAAATTTTTTTTACCACTACATATTTAAATGATCAGCAATGTTCATGTTGTAGAACGTACATATATATGTGTATGTGTGTGTGTGTGTGTGGTGTGTGAGTGTGTGTGGTGTGTGTGTAGTGAAGTTCATTCATGTTGCAGTAAAATTTTTCTTGCTATTTATATAATGTAATTTCGAATAGAAAACATATTTTGGCTCCCACCAAAGTTTCGAGTAAAAATTTAACCATATTTTATTAACCAGTTTTTATATTTATTTTTCAAATTTTCGGTAAAAACGTTTTGTTAAAATGTGGTATAATAAATAAAAAATTGATTTAAAAAATTTAAAAATAGAAATCAATGAAATAAAAATTTATCTGACAAAGAAAGTGAACCACGATGTGTGACGTTAATGGATTACAATACTAAACCTATATAAGTTACAAACGAAATTAATTATACTTGCTTGTTTACCGCTAGAGAAATAGAAAATATTCTTACGGAAATAAATAATAAAATATATTTAAATTAAAAATAAAAATGATATGCTGGCTCATAAAATAATTGTTGGTCCCATTATGTCATAGGTGCTGGTCCTCTAGAAGCAGTTCGTGAAGATCTTGAAATGGTGAAAAAATTAACGAATGAAGAATTAAGTTAGGAAAACAAAAAATAGGCCAGATAATATAAATAAAATTTAAGATCTGATTTGTAACATTTGTTTTTAGTCTAAAATTGAAATTCTCTCACCTAAAAGACTATTTTTAGAGATTTCTAACTGGGCAAGTAGATTCTGAAGTGAGACGTTTATTCGATTCTCCATTTTGCTGTCCGGAAATTTGTTCTTGTTTTTAATACTTTTCGAACTTTTGAATGAAAAATATTGTAAATTTAAAAAAATAAAATTTATTAAAATATATTTTATTGAAACCTCATAAATTCCAAAAGATTTCCTGAAATGATTTGTATTTGTGCAGAATGTTTCATTAGCGAAGTCAAACAGGATACATTATCCTTTCTGAGAGGCTTCGGAGAATTCTGCGTCTCGATGAAAGTAAAATTTTTTGTCGGGCGCCCTTTCACGGAGCTGCCATTGATAGCAAGATTGGCATTTGAAATTGTACTGCCACTTTCTATTGAATCTCTTCTCGATTTATTCACGTTATTTATCGATGCACTAATTCTTACAGCTGAACGAGAACTGTTGAATCTAGATTTTTCTTTGTCATACTTCAAAGCATTATTCTTCACAACGTTTTTATTTCTTAAAAATATATTTTCGTTAGCAACCGAAATCAGCGATGAAGATGTTTTAGAAGTTACAGAAGATAAATCATCGGCCTTACGATGGGGAGGTACGAACATTTTACGTTTAGTTGAATTGATTATTACAGGAGGTGTGTAGGTGTTCAAACGACTCATTTGAACAATTTCTTGACCCAAACTGACTCCAGTGTTTATAGATCTGTTCGTATTGAGATCTTCGTGGTATGAATCGATAACAGGAGTTGCTTTGTTTCGTTTCAGGGTTGATGTCCTCGGACGAGTAGTTTTCTGAGGTTCTTTCAATTGAATGCCATCTTCCGCAAAATTATCACTTGATTCAACGTCATTTTTTTGAAAAATCTCTTTATTGTTCGATCCGGGTTCATAATTATTTTCTAATTGATCTAAAAAGTTCTGAATGTTTGTTATACTTGAGTTATTTTTCGTCGATTGCACGTAGGGTGATGATTGAACGGATGAAAACTCAATTGAGTCATCACTATGCTCACGCTCCTCTAATGTTTCTTTGTCGTCTGCATGTTCTTCCGATTGTAAAACTCCATTCAATTTTTCATTCAGTGCTTTGGACGGCAGTTGACTTGTTTGAAAAATATTATCAACGCCAACATTATTATTGCTGTCGTTACCATCGTCGTCGTGTTGCGCTTTATTTTTAGCATTTTTAAGTAATTGTTTTCCAATTTCTTTGGTTGGTTTCAAGAGCAGTTCGGTTTTTATGCTTCTACAAGTGGATGGACAAGAGTCAGGTTCATATCTGGCGTAATCGTCGAATATAAATTTACTTGGAATATTTTTGTTCATCAGGTCTTCGTGGCTTTCATTTTTAAATTCATCAAAGTTGTTTGCAACTTTTGTCGAAATTGTGTTCTTTTTTATAACTTTTGGAGATTTCGTGGACAATAAAATTTCCGATTTCACGCTGCATATTGAGTCTGAAATTTCTAACTTTTCAGCGTTCCACGTCGGTTCTTTAAATATCATCCTCGTCTCTTGAATTTCAACAGGAATGGCGGTATTATTTGAAGAAGATTTGTCGTTTGGGGAGCAGTTAACAAAATTTGGAGATATTTTTTCTTGCTGCTCAGTCTTTAAAAATATTTCTTCGTTTGTGACTGGGCTGACGTTCGATGATTGTGTATCACTTGTTCCCGATAGGTGAGTGATTTTGTATGTTTTCGATCGTTTGGCTTTTTTCTTCACTTTCACTTGGGTTAAAGTATCAGTTAGATTGATAATTATGTTCAATCGATCGACCAATCAATCAATCAATCGATCGATTAGAATCAATGATGAATTACTATTTATTTTTATGATATATTTCTCAACAAGTTATCATATTTCAGGTCAAGGTATGATGAATAAATAGAAAATCATGCAACAAATATTATTTGCGCAAAAGCGAAAATTTATAAAATGCTTAATAAAATAACAATGTCGGAATCTAACGCCAGTAGCAAATTTATAATATGAACATCTTTGCTCAAATAAAATCAGTAATAAAGTTATCTTACAGAGATTATTTTATTAAATTAATTTGCAGAGTATAATTTTTAAATTTTATAAAAAATATTATTGACATCTCACATGGTTTCACAGGTGTTCCTCCATCCTTTACGATGATTGTTTCATTCTGAAATTTTCATAAAAATTGTTACACGTTTCCATTGCAACGGTATAACTTGATACATATTTTTTATAACAATATAACATGCTAAATATCTCCTTTATAACAATATAACATGTTACATATCTCTCTGGTAATGGGGACTGTTGCAAGCAGGTGCAGAGAATGCGCGGGCGCATGTTTCTATGGAAATATTAACATAAATTCAATCAATGTGTTTTAAAAGTGAATCTTTTTCAAGATTTTACAAAAATACACTCATACACTTAGAATAACACTTATATTTAAATTATTATTGCTAAATTTACTCTTTAATTTTATTGACTAAAAATTTATACACCTAACGAACGATAGAAAATTGAAGTTATAAAACTTATATATTTTTAAGAATAATTTTTTTTATAACCACCTGTTCTTCCTTTTTACTCTCTTCAGTTGTTTCATTAACTTGAAAATTATTCGAAAGCTCGTCGTCAGTTTTTTTAACATCACAATTAAGAAGGTTGTCGCATTCTTCGTCAACTTCTTTGAAGTCATCTTCGTCAAGATCAACCACGTAAGTTCCGTTGTCACTGATGTTACCATCGAGGTCTTCCTTCCTTGCATCGCAATCTAACAAGTTCTTCTTCCTTATCGCTGACTCTCGCTTCTGCAGACTCATTTTACGAGATCGAGGAAAATATGAGCGAAGGCTGTCATTGATCTGGAAGGAAGGCAGTGATGAGGAAAGGCAGGATGATGAAGATGGCGACGATTCTAGGGGATGGTTTGCGTTATTAACATCAGCGATGTCAACGATGAAGGCTGTGGATGGTTTTCGATTTACCTCCACTTTCTTTGTCTCAGCAACCGATTTCACTGGACTCGGAGACTTTTTTATAATTCGTCTGCTTGTTACTTGCGGAGAAGAAATATCTTTTTGAGGTGTTGGTGTTCTTTTCCTAGAGGCTGATGATTAATTTTATAAAAATAATTTAATGATAAAACTTAATTTTTGCTGAAAAAAAATAATTCACTTTGCGAATCAAAACTGTCGTCAAGAGAGTCATCGCCCCACCATGAAGGCACCCCATACAACGAGGTCACCGTCTTCGAACTCGTTGACCATTTACCTGCAAACAATATCAATTTTCATTCGAAGGATGTTGAAATGATGTTTCATTGAAATGTCAGGTGAACATTTAATTTTTAATATTTCACAAAAATTGTTTTAATTCATCAAAATTTAAATTTACTGCTCAGAAAACGGATTCTGATATCGAACAAACCTCTAATTTTTTTCTCCGGAGTTTCTGGCTGTTGATTATTTTTAACTTCGGCATCTTTATGATGAGGTGAATCATTGGTGGAGTGAGTTTCGTTTTCAAGTGCAATGAAACTTTGTTGGTCGATGGGAGGATTTATGACGTCGAAACATTCCTGGTAGTTAATAACTTTGGAACTGTCCGTGTTACCAGCTGTCGAGTGGATCACGTTTTGTTGGGTTGGCGAATATGGCAGAGATTGTTGGCGCAACAGACCTATGTATTGACCATTTGGGTGACAAATCACCGGCACGCAACTTTGAATGAAAGTTTTCGAAACTTGGCGGGCCTCGTTTCCCGCAATCTGGGTGAAGTGCTGATTTGGAAAAGCATCAAACGTTGTGTTGTAAGCGTACGGCATGGAGTTTGCGTGGATGATTGGGTTGTTGATGGGACATGTACACTTTGTTGATTTTGTTTGCAGTTGTGAATTATGAACCATTGTGTCAACAACTGTTGCATTTACATTGGAAGAATATGAGTTATATTTATTATAGTTATCCAATGAGATAGGTGCAAAGACCTGAATGTTGTTGAGTTCATCTTGACGCAGAATCCCATATTGGACGTTCGATGTTATGGCTGCGTTCCAATAAGAATGCTCGTTGTTGGGCACGTTGTTGAAATCTGATGAACCTCCGTAAACTGTTGACAGCTGTGTTGGCAAGGTGCTAGCTTTGCGGTTGTTGATGTTGTTGTTGATGTTGTTGTTGATGTTGTTGGTACGTTGATTGTTGGTGTTGTTATGGTAGATGTGGTTGATGTTGTTGTGTACGCTATGGTTGTTGTTGTTAATGATGTTGTCGGTGCGATGGGAGACCAAATCTGATGTTTCAAACAAATTAGACCGTTTAATTTGAAATAAGATTTTGAACATTTAAACTACCTCTCTGATGCTGGTGGCGTGGGTGGACATTTGAATGCATCCTTTCTATCCATGGACAGGCCAGTTTGCAACAACTTTATTTGCAACTTTAAAATCTGCTCAAAATTTTGTTTAAATTTTAATAATAATGAAACTAACAAATAAAACTTTCAGTTGGAAATATATTGAAAAGTAACGAATTTAAGAATTAACATTATTCCTCGCGTTCTCATTTAACCATCGTTTAATACTCACTTCAATTATTTCTTATCATATGATATAAAATTCAACGCAAAATGTAAAAGCGTAAAGCACATCTACTAAGAAGGATTGTGTTATGAAAATAGCCGACCGATGTTTGAGTTTCACGTACTGAATCAGCAAGAAATGCGTGCACGGAACATGTCATGCGATTGCTTACAATGAACTACATGCACACTCACACATACATGAATACAAACATATAGCCACATACATACATACATACATACATACATACATACATACATACATACATACATACATACATACATACATACATACATACATACATACATACATACATACATACACACATACATACATACATACATACATACATACATACATACATACATACATACATACATACATACATACATACATACATACATACATACATACATACATACATACATACATAAATACATACATACATACATACATACATACATAAATACATACAAGTATTATAAATAAACATTACATTTATGCAAAATATCGATTAGTTGAAGCTGTTG